TGGTTCAAATTTGCTTGCTCTGTCGTGCCTCACTTTTTAAGAATCAAAGTCGGGTATATGTAACCGAAATATATAATAAATGTTAATCATGTTTCCTTTTGATTTCACGTCCTTTTCAGAGCTGGCTAATGCTGGAAGGCCATTATTCCCCGGAAACGATGTGGACGACCAGTTGAAAAGAATCTTCAGATATCCTTTTTTTTCTGCTTTCTTCTGCTTTTGCAGTTTGCTATTTGGAACTCTTTAACCTACTATATGATGAATGATTTACAAACAGTAAGTCTTTACAGGCTGGGCACACAACAAAGTTTTTCTTTAACCACTCGGTACGTTGTTGGGTACACCAACTGAAGAACAGTGGCAGACAATGACGAAACTCCCCGATTACAAGGTAACTTATTAATACCTTTTATTTGATCTGACCCACAGTGGAGGCAGTGTACGATATGAGTTACTGAAATTCAGAATCAGAATCAGAATACCTTTATTAGTCCCACAGAGGGGAAATTTGCTGTGTTACAGCAGGAAAGAGCCAGCTTAGTGTTGCATATCTGAAATGCGTTAAAAAAGTACTAAGTTATAATATAATAAACAAACAACACAACAATATGCTATAAAAGTACTAAGTTATAATATAATAAACAATATGCTAAAAAAAGATTTAAAAAAATGGTCTTTCTACCTGCAGCCATATCCCATGTATCCGGCTACCACCTCGCTGGTGAATGTGGTGCCCAAACTCAGTAGCACAGGACGGGATCTACTCCAGGTACTTTCATATTCAACTTGCCTGCTTCTATTTAAATATCATAATACATTAGCACAACTGTCAATAGCTGAAGTTATGACTTTTATACACAGTTATAAACAATAAAAAAACATATGTATTGTTTATAACCATGCCTATAAGTCATAACTTCAGCTAACCAATCCACCAATTGTTGCTAATATAGAGTTGTGCTTGCCATAAATTCTACATTTCTGTCCACTTATTAATGTTTCCTTTTATCTCCATCCAGAACCTGCTAAAATGTAACCCTGTCCAGAGGATTTCTGCAGAGGAGGCCTTGCAGCACCCGTACTTTGCTGATTTCTGCCCACCCTAAAAGCTAAACGGCCCCTCGCTGAACCTCAGCCGCCAGAATCAATCATCCTTCATTCTGCTCGGTCATTAGGACCAACAGGGCCAATCCCTCTCCGGTCTCTAACACTCCCCTGCATTTCATTCTGTTGTGCCTCTGGAACGACGGCCTGGTGGCTCAGCAAGGATTAAGGTTGTTTTAAATTGCAAACCTGTTTAATTTGTTACATAAATGCCTCCCAGTAAATTAGCGCTAATGTGGCAGGATGCACTATGTTGCATTAAATACTTTTTATAACTGTGGAAATGCTTTAGAACAAAACGCCCCTCCGCTCCAAAAGACCGATACAATTAACATGCTGTTTATTTCTGACTTTTAACAAGTTGTTTTGGTAAATTAATTCAGATTTTAATTTAAAAGTGCTGACGCATTAGTTGACCAAACAGCCTCTCTGAGATGTGCCATTGCAAACTAAACTTTTTCTCAATGATCTAAAAATATTTCTTTGGCATTTCTATCCTGCAGTGACTTTTTGTATTAGCCGCAATATAAAGGCTGGTGCTGGCATATCGGTAAAAGTTGAAATCTGCTGAAGTATTGGCTCTAGTAAAGAACACAGATCCTGGGGCTGCTAAATGCTACTTTTTCCAATAACAAAGGAGAGATTCATTTGAAAATGATGAACGCTTAAGTCAATGTTTTTAAGGATTGTATGTTATTTTTGTTTCACTTTCATTTACACGTCTGTAATTCCAAAATTATTTCCAAGAAATGTTTCTTGTTTGAAATACTGTATGTGATTTGGTACTAATTTAATGCTATGAAAAAAAAACTTTAATTAAACCTGAGAATTATTTTATATAATTATTCACTTATGGTGTACACTCATTCGCCTACATGGACTAAATAGAATTTTTTTCTTTACAGACATTTCAAAATGTTGCATGTTTGCTTCGTAGGTAACATAAGCTATTAATTAGAAATGATTAATCAGGGCTGTGCCATTAAACACATCTCTATTTTCTTTTTAGTTAGTACCAAAAACATACTTATTTCCTGGAAACTTCCTATGAAATGATTAGGAAATAACAAACCTGTATGATACAGTGTTATATATATTTTTACTTTTCAGACAGTAATTCGGAGGTTTCATACCAACAGTACATTTCGTCGTCCCACTACCTAGTTACAAGATTGTATAATAGCATGGAAAGCTAATTTATTATTTTATCTTTCTCAGGCTTTTTATTTCCCCTTTTGTATTTCTTTTTCTGTGCACTTTGTAAGTTTCATTTGAAATTGTTTAGTATATATAAATATTATTAAATATGTTGAACACTGACAGCCAGGATTATAGCCGGTTATCAATAAAAGGGCCAATATACATCATTTCATGATAATGACTAGTGGACCATTAGTGACACGTTAACTTTTTTACATCATAATTATACTAACATCTTTTAGCTCTTCTGAAATGCTTCTGTAGTTAAATTAGAGAATCCAGGTAATCCATTGATAATCTGTGTTTTCATATAATGATTGTTTTGCACCATTAGCTGTTTCTGGTTATTCATTGTATCAACATGGTTTAACAGCTTGCAGTGTTATTTTACTCCAGATCGTTACAGCGCTACTTATCCCATAAATACGCCTACATAATGATTTTGTTTGAAGTAGCTGTTCTAATAGGGAAATGACTTATTTCTATTTTGCTGATGTAAGAAGATAATGGATGCATGTATTTATTAATGATGGAATGTCTGCTCATTTGTTTTGCATTCGTTACAAGAGGTAGCACAAGTTCATTTGGTACAGAAACTCCTTCATATTGATTCAATGTAACTCAGATCTTTAGTCAGCTCTTTTAGGATTTAAAGGTTGTGTGTGTGTGTGTGTGTGTATTAAGTTATAATGAAAGAAAACAAAAGCATTTCCTCTCAGTATTTCATTCTTTAGTGATAACAAACTGCTTCAGAGTTACTTTGTACAGCCTCTATTTAAGATTTGAATGAAGAGGTGGTTTTGCACTTTGCTAGTATCTTTCTTTGTGTTGGTCGAAACCCATGAGACTAATGTCATTGATTATTTGATGTATATGTCAGACAATAAGACGATTCAGTAAACTGGATATAAATACATGTTTGCTTTTAAAGGTCCCCTATTATACTCTTTTTAAACAATATATTATAGGTCTCAGATATATACAAAACATGTCTCGGAAGTGTTTGGCTTGAAATACCAAACAGATCATTCATTGTCGCATCCCATAAACCCCTCTGTTTCAGCCCTGTTAAAAGTGCTGATTCTGTGTCTGTAGCTTTAAATGCTAATGAGCTGCTGCTGGCCACGCCCCTCTGCAAAGTGATTGGTTTAAAAAACATCATGGTGCTCTAGGAGGAGATTCAGGAGATAAGGTGGGCGGGTGTTACCTTGGTTGGTTATTGGCTAATGGTTACACAACCCAAAATATCATGACATCATAAACTAGCCAAAATCTGATTGGCTCATTTGCAGACAGGTTTTATATAACTGAATCAAGACAAAAAGAGAGGGGGTCTTTTTTCCTGAAATGTTCCGAATCTCTTTACACATAGGGGGGGGAATATTTATGTATAAAAGACATGAACAAGTGGATTTTGCTAAATAGGTGACCTTTAAGAACAAAAGTTCATTCTTGACTTTGGAAACGGTAGCTGCCAAAATAATATCGCCGCAAGGTCCATCCGTTCAACAGCTGTTATTGAGTGTTGGATTGTATCCATGAAAACTGAGAAAAATCAGTCTGCCGGGAAACAGCCGCTAAACAGACCTTGTATTGAGATCTATTTTGTAAAAGATTGCTTGTTATTTCAAAATGATTTACACAGTTTGCTTTTTATATGGTCACATTGACTACTTCTGCATTTTGGAAACATCTTGATAATACTATGTGATAAAAAATAACCCAGTAGATGGCATCTAAAGTGCTTTTTGTCATAATTGTGTAGCTACAGTGCAAATCAGGCTAGGCTACAACAAGGTTTGATACAACTAGATATCAACTTTGAAGCTCTTGACATCGTTTAATTCAAAACATTTTTCTCAATATCATGAAATTAACGTGTTATAAATACAAAAAAAAAAAGTGGAAGTACTCCGATATTTTACTTTAGTAAAAGCAGAAATACTAGAGTGTAAAAGTTGTGTGATACAAGTGAAAGTCCTGCGTGCAAAATCTTACTTAAGTAAAAGTATAAAAGTATTGGCATCAAAAGCCAATACGTACCAAAAGTAAAAGTACTTAATGTCCCATTTCAGAATCATATACTAAAGGCTGGAATATGATTAATTCTGCATTAATGTGTTCATCACAGCTGATAAATGTGGAGCTAATTGTATTACTTTACTGCTGGATATCTGAACCTATTATATATCCTAACTATAAGTAGGAGTTTTAGTAATAGTGAAACACCAGCTTATATGTACCATCAGGACGTTTTGCCTGGCAACAAGTCAAAAACCCACCAACTGTCTTTAGATACTTTTTTAAATGTTGCACAATTCTGATTGGTGCATAGATATCTATTAGCCAGCATCCAACTACAGCTCAGGAAAAGGAAAACAAATCTCATCAAGCTGTTCTTATACTGCATACATAAACCTAAAAATGAGCTGGCCGCATCGCCCTCGCATCAAGAGAGCTTTCTTCAATTGTTCCGACGCGATGTTTCGACTATCAATGCACAGAAGTCAAATAAACAACTTCCAAACTCGGGATATGGTACTATCAGAGGAGCCCCTAAAAGCACCATTACTAGATAATTTTGTGTCCACTTTGAGAGCTTTTTCGAGTTTTAAGGGCCTTTAAAATGGGCATGCAGGTACATGTGCTGTCAGTAAAACGAGTTAAGTTACACATAGTTAAGTGTGTATTAACTATTTAATGTACAATTCAGAGTTAAAATCACATATCTACAATAGAATGCACATAAAGCACGTAGAGCCAGATGAAGCAAGTTCAGTTCCCCAGATCTTTGTACGCATGGAAATCTTGATGTTACCTGTTACAACCAGTCTTGAAGGCACATTTATTTCTACTTTAAGCCACATTATGTTTATTATATCCATAAAAATTGATGGAAGGATATATCAGTTTTCTCGCATCTTCCCTTTTTGGGTATTGCACGATACCAAGCCTGGTTTGAGGAGGACCTGCAGAACATCCTTTTGATTCATCTGGCTCCAGAATATACATTTTGTACATTTTGGACCATACAAAGTGAATAGCATGACTAAGATTACATTAAGAGAACAGAGATAATAGGAATACATAATGGTCATGCAAGGGCGAAAATGGATGATATGACATAATTAGTTGGAAATATAATCATTCAAATGTCAGTGTTAGGCGACAGAAATATATAGAGTACGGTTTTCTACTTGGCCATAACTATACGGCAAATATCAGGAGGACTAACAGTTAGAGTTTCTGCCAGTTCAGATGCACTCTGCTGTTCTGTGACAGGTAGTAAGGCAGGGGGTGAGGGGAGAGAGAGGTAAAGACCCGGGACATTTTCACACATCCTTCAGCCAGTTTGTGGTAAATGGTGGGTCATTTGTTTGCTTCTTAACCCGAACAACATGACACACACACTCATCATGACAATGCAGCATCATCAGAATAGCATCATTGTGTAACATGAATTGGCATTTGTCTCTTTAATTAGCTAATGATGGCTAATATACAATTTTCATATCATACATCTGTGTTGCAGCTGTTCAGTCTATCAGTCCAGCCGGTGAAAACATCATTTATTAAAAATGGGAATCCCAAATCTTTTTTTTTTATGTATCTCAACTATTTTAGTTTCAGTGCATTTATTGCTCATGACACAATACCGCTGATTCACCTTTTTTCCTGAAAAGTACGTTTTCCATTTCACAACGAGGTCTCTGGCTGCTCTTGGCAAGTGCCCTTTTTCCTATTAATGATCGAGAAGTGAACACACCAAGTAACAGGGTGTGTACTTAAAACTAGAGCCACAAAAGGTAGTCACAACCATAGACGTCCAGTCATTGGCTTTCAAGTGATGGCTGATCTCCAAAGGTTTGTGCTTCACATCAACAGTCATCTAATACACAGAGTATAAAGCTACAGTGTTATGAACACCACTCAACTTGATTAGCATTATACTTTCACATTAAAAAAAACTACTCTGAATTTCCAGTAAAGTATTTATAGTGAGGATATGTGAGAGTAACAAGTCCATAAAACTAGTGTCAAGGATTTAAATAACAGTGAACATTAACAACGAGAGACTCACACGAAGATCAGAAGAAAAGTTGTGTACGTGAGTAAGATGGGTAAATATTGAGTTTATTATACTTGTTCATTTATACATCACAAACTGTTATTTGTGACTTATTACATGTTCTGGAGTAATAATAATAAAATGATACAATGGTCAAATTTTACAATGCATTTCCGTTATAAATCAATTGTTTTAAATGGGGCTGACGTGCGCAGTGGTTTTTAATGTTTTGAGGCAATTCTCTTGTATCCAATACAGTGGATTCACGCTATAATCACCAGAAACTCAAAGACACTTACGGTCCACCCAGATAGAAAGTCCAAATTCCTTCTCTTGAGTAACAGAAAGGAGAACACTTTATCTTCCTCTATATATATCTATATTCAGATATATTGATATATATATACAGTATATATTTGACAAATGTCTCACATAAGCAGTACAGAATTTCTTCATGGCATTTGATTGCGGGTATTTACAAGTTTCTGTCAAGTTCAGGAATGTCACCAACACACCTCTTTAGGTCTTCTTATGTTCAATAGAGAATAGGTTACTATCACAGGGGGTTGTGCTGATGGACACCTTTAAGACACAGCAATGGAAAAACTGTTTCTGAGAATGATTAAAAAGGCAAAAGGGAAATTGTTTCTCTTCTAAGGAATTCACTGTAAATAAGGGCTAACTTCTGCAGCAAGCTGCATGCTAGCATATATTTTCACTGCACAGCAAGGTAATCCCAAAATATGTAAAAACAATGGAAATAGAAATGTCAGGATATAAAGATACAATCAATAGCCTTGTTCGGCTAACCCTTACTACAAGTAGAAAGTGACTTAAGTTAACTAACACATCAAGTTCAGTTTCTGCCATCCCTGTGGAACAAAACCAGATACTTATATACAAATAATCAAGTTCCCTTTCTGTTTTTAAATTGATTAAGCACAGTCATTTAAATTCATAAGAGCCTCACAGTAGCAAAAGGCAACATTAAACACCAGTCTAGTGAGGGGATTCAGGATTGAGCCGCTCTTTTATCCAACAATCAGCTCACTGAGATGTAAAAGGGCTCTCCTGTTCCAGCTGGTGACAGTATAAGGTCACTCACTACAGCATGTGTTAGATGCTGGAGGCGTAACACTGCTGAGAATCTGCTCTGCTGCAGATACCAATCCACAATTATCATTTGTTGAGGTACGTACAGCAAAGCAGGCACAGCAGAGCTACACCTCATCACAGCCCAGAAAGCATTTTATAAACATATTTCTATATTCTGCTTGTATAACTCAAAAGTGAGAGCATAAGAAAAACAAATCCACAAAATGAAACATGAATAAATTAACACAGATGCCTTGACATGGCAGTTAAACCTGAGTTCTGTTTTGGAAGTGGTCTCTCTCTTTTTTTTCTTTTCTTCTGATGATAGTACTCTATTTCTATTCAGGCATTGATAAACTCTACTAGTATACTCAAACGGTTTCTGTTAAATACATAAATTAAGTCACAGTTTGCTGTCGAGTCCCCGGATGTGCCCTCCTGCCTCCCCCCCAACCCCTTCTTTATGTTGTCAACAAGCAAACTCCTCGAAGTTGCCTAGAGTCGGGTGACGAGGTAACATGTTCGGCGTGAATCCGAGACTCTCCGAGTGACTCCGGAGGGTGTCACAGGTGCTCTGCAACACAGAGGAGGGGGGGGGGGGGGAGGGAGGGAAGACGAGTTCAACCGGGTTAAGGGAGGGGCGATGAATGGAGCCATGATGATGACGATGTAGGTAAGTAAATGAGCCACACGTAAAATGAGAGCGACCGGGACGATGGATGAACGCGGATGAAATGGAAAAAAATGATATGATTCGAGTAGAAATTGTGCAAAACCAAAATTATTAATGCAACAGAGATAAGGAAATGATATATGGAGGAGGGCCGTAAATGACAGAAACATACGGAGACAATGATGAGGTAATGAATACAACAGATTTGGAGGTTCCAAGATCAACCACATTGCATATGTTTCACAGGCAAAGGAAAACCAGAAGGAAGGTGGGGAAATATGAATGAAAGGAGGGAGAAGAGAGAGACAACAGCATTTATTTAGTCCTGTTTTTACACTAGTATTCCTAGGATAGTAAATTCCTATAGTTACAGTTAAGCTGGGAAATCCACATGTCTGCATTTCCCTGTGTGTGCATAGCTGAGTGTATGACTCCTGACGCTGTGTGTGGAACAACCATTGGTCGTCCCACCGGTAAAACTGGCTATTCCAACAGACAGAGAACCATTTATGTGTCGTGCAAACTCACGGCATGCAGACCTGAGATAACATCACAAAGTAATGCATCTAGTGATGTTATCTGGCATGAGCCTCAATGCATGGCCTCTAAATGGAGCTCTGCGCTGGAGGGGAAACAAATGGATCTCGTATGGTTCAGCTTTTTTGTACGATAACTCAATAAATACGTTATTTGTTTTTCACAGGAGGACTGCGCTTTGTCCTATTGGGAGAGAAAGCATCATTATTCAGTGGAAGGAGCGAGTTTCTTTGCATAGAGTCCAATCATTATGCACTCGGAGAAGCCAACCAAAAACACACAGAACTAACCTGCCCTCACATTGGGTTGGATATTAAAATGCTCGCTGCAGTTGGCTAATCACCCCCTTGTTGTTTTTGTTTCACTATTTATCAGAGCATTTGTAGCCACTGAGGAAATCATGTATGAGATGGTTTTCAGGTATGAATGAAAGAGAGGGACAGCATGGGAGGGAGGATCTATAATCAATGGGGTGTGCTACCTGGGGGCATGATTAGGCGTGACACCAGGGCTGGTTGGGTTCTCTGGAAACTCCTGGAATAGACATGATGAAAAGAAAGATGGGTGAGGGTGACTGAAATGAAAATTAAACACAATGCAAATGCTAAAAGTGTTTTTTCCCCCTCAGTGGAAGGTTTAAAGAACTGAAGGAAGATGGCTGTTTGATCATATTTGGATCTTTTTAATAAGCAGGGAAAATAAAAGATGATTACTGTCATCCAGAAGAGTTGACGATCAATAAAGAGAAAAGAAAGTAAAAAAAAATGACAAAATGCTATACTTTACTGTCGGGTTGTTTGAGTGGAGATGTGACAATGGACTAGTTGGAAAAACGATTAGTGATCGTGAGAGAAAGAAAAGGATGATTTATTGTAAGCAGATGAACATATGACATGAATGGGGAAGAAAACAGGACATATCACACTATGTAAAACTCCAGTAAAAGCACAACATACTTTAAATATCATCTCACTGAATAAATGCTTCTTCTTCTACTATTTAAAAACCAGACTGACTAAAAGAACTTCCATCACTATGTTGTCTTGACTTAGATTAACATATTTCCACTTCAACAGAGGAGAATAAACAACTTATTTCAGTCTTTCCTTCCACATCAGCAATCAAAACAGATCCTGAACATGAGGCAACGCAGCATGCAAGATCACAAAACACATGCAGAGACAAAACAATGGCTTCTTCACTGATGTGACGAGACATAAAGGGCATTATGTTGAATTGGTTGTGTTGAAAAAGTCGTGGGCTAAATGTGAGCTTGCATTTCCAAGACTCTTATGGATTCAAACTGCTTGATACAGTATATTTGGGGACAAAAGAACTGTCTGCGCTAACAAACACCAGCTTGAATGCTTTTGATTGAAACAGCACCAGAAAAAAATATGTTTGAGGTTTTGTTAATGTTACACGTCTACAATGAGCTGCACAGAGAGAAACGACTTCATGTCTTTCAAAGAACTGGAAAGAGTTATGGTAATAATGGCAGTAAAACTACTTATTTAAGACTTTTTAGAATCTGTTTGCCTACAGTAGAGGTGCTGGAATATTTGGATGATATGTATTACTAACACAATATTAATATTTCATTTAAAAAATATTCTGGTCATCCTCCCTATTGTATATTGAGACACTCCTAATAACCAATGATATCCTAATGATAGACTATTTGTGAGAACATACAGTTAATCATTTATTAAAAATGAGTTTCTTCTGGAACTCCTTTAAAGTAATTTATTTAAAGGTGGGGTAGGTAAGTTTGAGAAACCGGCTCGAGATACACTTTTTTGTATATTCCATGGAATGCTCTTAACATCCCGATAGCAATGAATATCTTCAGTGCTTTGACAAAAAATCCATAAAAAAATGTCATCTCTGGAAGCCGTAGTACTGTAAAAAGCACGACCAATCATTTGAGCCGGCCCGGTTAAAATAACTGGATGGCCTACCTGCCTGTCAGCCTTCCATCTGTGCACAAACTTATCTCGTGCCCTCATTGGTCATGTGCGCGTTCGTGTGTGTTAGAGGAGGGGCTCTGTAAGGAAGTGGCAGATTTTTTCCGGCTGTGTATTTTCAAATTCTAGCGCACTCGAGCTGGTTTCTCCAAAATTACCTACCCCACCTTTAATCTATAAGAGATACTCGCTTTGTTCTAAAGCACCATCTTTGAAGCTTGGCAGTAAAATAATTTTGAAATTGACTGAAATAAGTCTCTCAAATATTTTTCTCAGCAAAGTGGCTATAACAATAGCTTTACAACTATAGCCAACAAAGGTTTGATTCAGTGCAGAACATTTGCTCATTTCTTATTAACAAAGTTCCTTTCAGTTATTGATAATTCCCTTTGAATAAACCTCACAGTCTGCAGGAGAAGTTCCTCTGGACGCCTTTGGTTTAACAACGGGGGGTTAGACACATAATGTGATTTAGGGCAGGACAGAAATACCCCTCATTATTCTAGCTAAGTTCAAATGGGTTTATTGCTTCTAAGGCGATACAAATGTGTTGAATCATAAAATATGGACACATCTATATCTCGCTCTGTATTCTGCTTATTCTTCTACTCTTCTCCATGAATCAATTCAGAATTTCCTCTGATAATTCTGTAGCAAATTCTGAGTCGGTGAGTGGGATCAGCACCGGAAAAGGGCTTTGACCTCTCAACGTAAGAGCATAAATAAAAGCAGTTTATGAGTCACGTTAAGATGTTTATCCTTAATCAGTCGGACAATTAATTTCTCCTTCACGACTGTTGTTGGTGTTGTAGCAAAACACAAACGATGGAAGTATATAAAGGAGGTTTACTTAGTCAGTTTGCTTCTTTTAATTATTCATCTCTATTGCATCTGTAAAACTATTATTCATTTCATTTCATTTTTTCATTTCAATCTTTATTTCGAACAGATAAAAAAAATAACAAATAAAAAATAACAAATGTGAAATAAGAGAATACCGTATTGTTAAAATACAGTATTTATCCACATTCATGATTCAAAAAAAGTCTTCATATTAATAATAATAATAAAAAATCATATGTGTCCGAAAGGAAGTAGGAGGAAGCAAATGCTTATTAATTATTATTATAGATTGGAACGTTTTGACGCTTCTCCATAATATTCAGCATTTAAATAAAGTGCCATATGTGTATAATATTAGATAAACTGATTATGCATTCATTTTTTTATCACAATACATATTTTCTGTGGGAAAATGAAACTAATGGTAGTGCTGTCCATTCAAAGCATTTTGAATTTCAGTGGACATACTGTATTTGTTGGTATTGTTGTTTCTGAGGTTCATTAAATACATCACATTCACATTCATTCATTCAAATGCATTCTGAGAGACTCAAATTACCAGATTGTCGCTCTGACAACGCTGTGGACGTTTCTTGCGAACGAAGTAGCCCAAAACCTTATCCTTAAACACCTAAATGCAAAAACACATCAAATACTCATTATTCACAGTTAGAATAAATCATGTTCAGTGACATTTAGACATAACATTAGCAGTAGATTATACTGTTAACTTTTTAGGAAATGTACTTTCGTGCAGAGAGTCTGATGAGACGATTAATATCACTCTCAGCTTTGTAATGAAAGCATGAAACTGCAGCCGGTTAGCTTAGCTTAGCATAAAGCCTGAGAACAGGAGAAAACTCACTGAAGATCACTAATTAACAAATTGTTCATTTAATCCATACTAAAACTGGAGGGCAAGAACATAGCTGTGGTTTTCCTGGAGGATATGTGCCCGAGTCCGACTATCTCTTGGAGGGAGCCAACACTTGACATTTTTACATTCCACTTTATTTATGCATGTTACTATTAAGAAATAAGGTGTTTATTCAAGTTATTATTGAGCTTTACAGAAGCTGATGGGCAGATATGTTACCTTGATGGTTCATAGAATTAGTTTCGTTAAACGTAGACTATTTAATTAAGATTAAAAACAACCAATAACATATTCAGGATATAGTTGTCCTGGAAATATTTTAAATGATGTTAAAACATAAGTCAATTAACTGTTAAGTGGTACACTATAACAATTTACTATTATATGCACTTGTACAAAAACACATTTAATTATTGTTTACACTTTTATATCTTAATTTCTGAAAATGATCATTTTACCTCATACAAGTAGTCAAATATTTCCAGTATAGTTAGGACGCTGGCTCCGATGAACAGTCCCATCTGACCTCCAATGTCACCTAGAAGGAGAGATGAACAGATATGTGAGGGTACAGGGATGAAACAATAGCGTGTGACGGTGTTTCCTGTGCTGTCACTTCTCATTCAGTATCTCTAAGAGTAATCTGCACAGAGTTGTCAAAAGTGTCCAACCAGCCCCAACTTCTCCTCAGACACAACCACAGCTGCCCTTGCAAGAGCATCAGATTATGAAAATGTGTTCAGCCTTTTTCAAGAGTTCAAAGAGGAAACCTCAAAGCACCGGGCGCGAACACACGATGTGAAATGTGCGGTGGCGGCGGCCCGCTGAGAGCGCTGATACCGAGGTCAACCACATTTTTCTGTCACAATAAACCTGAAAACGGCGAGAATCTTACCGAGGAGCCCGGCAATTTCATAGGCTTTCTTCTGCTCAATCTTCTCGTAATTCAGAGCTTCAAAGAAGATGTCCATTACCAATATATTTTCTCTGGAGAGAGGACAGACAAGATCAAACCCAAAGAGTTTATTGCTGTTATTACATTACAGCAAATAGCACCTCTCATTTCCTGTGTAACTATCTTTCATTATTGTTACATTGAAGGTGAACGATGGAGACCCAGGTCATGCTATGCCACAATATATCCATCCATTAACAGAAGAAAAGAGGCTAAGAACTGCTACCGTATAATACTTACCCAATATACTGCTCAGTTTTGTTGAATTTCTTAGCCAGATATTTAGCAGATGCCTTACTGGGGATCTTAACCATGGACAGCTCCTTGCCATAGCGAGTCATGTTGCAGGGGGTCTCACACACACAGTAATCGTTGTCTTTCTCTACCAAAAAGTCTGTGGATGATCAAAGTCATTTCAAGAATCAAACAAACCTGCTCTCTAAAAATATCCCTGCACACAACTGAAGAAACAACATACGCTGCCATCGTTCACTTTCCATGAAAGCAAATAATGACTACAGTGGAGGGAGAAAAGAAAACCCGTAGGGATTTATTTAACATCGACGAAGCAGAGACACATCACAAATCCTGCTAATGGAATTTTTATACAATTATTTTTCCTTTATTATTTTTTGCTTTAGCACTGTCTGAGATCAAAGTCATTTCAAATTAAAGCTACGGAGGCATTATATTGAAGCTTGAAAAGTCTCATGAAACTGCTGCTGGACACAAAATGATCACACCAATATTTCTTACTTATGCAATAAAGTGGGGGGGGCTCACCTAAAGCTGGGTCAGCACAGTCTTTGTACTGCTCAGGTGTGCAAACTGTTGAGGTCCCTGTTTGAAATAACAATAATTACACATATGATATAAAAAAAAACACATTGGGAAGAAGTATTCACAGTTATATTTTTGATTTGGTACGTCTTTCTGAAATCATACCAGGCATGTGAACCATCCTGCAGTTGCAGTTCTCCAGCAGGTACCGAGTTTCACAGTCAATGCGGCAGGCGGTGATGCTGTACGTGGAGAAGAATTCAGAGTCTATGGGAGTAGACTTGCAATCTCCCCAAGGCGGAGGGAGGTACTGAAGCTGAAAGAGCAAACAGCACATGTTTTCCCTCAGTATATCAGCACACAGGATTACAACCAAAAACATAATGCAAGCCCAGTGCAGTGCAGCCGAGGAAATACAAAAGAAGACAACAAGCTGACAAAACCCAACACAAATGTCTCTCACATAAAAAAATAAATACAGAAGCATCACTCAATGTGCACTGCGACAGTATTGGAACAAAATGTCCGTTCAGACCAACTTTATTTCTCACGTATAGCAGCAAGCAGGCGTCATGCATTGCGTATCATAACTGATGCAGGTCTAGTCCCCGGTAGGAAGCAGAATACCATGGGAATAGAGACAGGGCTAATACAAATCTGTAAAATATGTAGATTCAGACAGGACACCACAATTAATAGACAAACCGTACAACCTGAGAACAGAATTCAGAACATTTGAATGGACACATAAATTAATTGTAGCGATTATACAGAGCTTTATATCTTATTTTAGGGAACATTTGATGAATTCCTCATGACTAAATGACTCCTCATAAGCATATAAAAGTGTTTTTTTTTTAAATTGTAAATTAACTATTGAGATTTTCTAATTTAAACCCATGAGTTTTTTTTCTAAAGCTACACTGGACTGCAGCCTTGTGAATTAAACAATGAAGTGAAGTCAGTGTGCAGTCTCATTAGAGTAAACTCTCATTAATAAGGTGAAGAGCAGGTCATTACATTTACGAGTAACTCCGGGAATTCCAAATGAATTCACTAATGAGGAATATCTAATGCCTGAGTTTTAACTTTTTGGTTCACCGTAACCATTGGACCCATGGTGCTCGTCTCATAGCGGCAGAAATGTGCCCCGTGTGCAGAGCTCTCTTAAACACTTAAAGACACTCTTTTTTTTACCGACATTTACCCACCAACAAGACTTTCAGACAGCTTTTAAAGTCTTGTTTACAGCTATTAAATGGTAAGAAATGCTTAGGACTCATTTTCATGACACAAACAAACCAATTATTTGTGAAGGCTAGTGCTGCTTGCTTGGAGCAGATAGCTTCTAATTGCAGAGGGAGGTAGCCAACAGCCTAAAGGTTTCTTCCTGACAAAACTTCACAGAGAGATGAGGCTGCTGTTGCATTAACATACACTGTAATTCCCAGCCATCTCCCCCAGCGCTAACAAGGCTGACAATCTAATGTTCATTTAGTCAACAGAAAGTGACAGAGATAGAGTGGAGTTCGCTCAAGGAGTGGACTTAAACTGGCAAACATTATTAAGCCGTTATTGAACTCCATTTCTAGCCCACAGACTCTCATAACAGGAGTGTCGAAAAAAACTAAAAAAGTCTTCATGGGTAATAAAACCTAATGAATCACATTGTCTGGCCCCTACAGATGATATTAAGTAGCGGTCCAGTGGATCGCCCCGATAACATAAAGGCATAACAAAAACAAAAATGCAAACAGAACTATATATGGCCGAGAGAGGGTAAAGCCAAACAACAGCTTTGAGGAAGATACAGACTCGGATGAATGGATTCAAGCTGGAATGAAACCCATTAACTGCTTTTTACTGACATCTATTAAACAGAGAAGACAAGGGGCGACAGACTGTAGATGTTGGATGTCATTGCTTCAGCCACACAGAGGGGGACAGATGGATCCATTCCTTAGGGGGGCAGCAGATGAAGTTGTGAATCTTACTGATGGGTGTGTAAGTATTAAACAATACACGACTTGTGGCATGCAGCAAGCCATACAGTCATACGCTACCCTCTGCTCTTGGCTGGAAACAAACGTTTGGAAGCCGGGGGCGACCCCGAAGCCCAGCTGATGGAGGAAAGGAGGCTCAGACTGAGTGTGAAGCTGTACCTTTATGCCGGCCTCATAGGACGTCTCATCTAGGGCGAGGGGGTGAGGGAACACAGCCCACGTCATTATCAGAATAAGGAGGAGGAGCAACAGCAATGCGAGGGACAGGAAGTGATCAACACCTTCAGACAAGAGAGTAGTGAATCAAATAAAAAGCTAGGACTCCCAGCAGTGCAAGACAACTTTTTTTATCATCGGTATAAATTAAAGTTACTTACGCAGCGCCAGGAGTTTTGGCAGGTTACCACTATTAAAGGTCGCGTCTAAATCATGACTCAGGGATGCGACTGTTGCCGTAGTCATGACAGACGTCATACCCATGTTATTATTTTTAGCGGCAACCAAAAGTGTTTAAGACTTTTGATTGCTTGGATCCTTTTGGGAGTTTTTCCGTAATTGGTGATATTTGGCTATATACATAACATTTGATTGATTTAATTTGATTCTACACTGGTGGGTTGTCATTTAGTCACTCTATTCTAATATCCACTCGAGCTCGGGCGACCACAGAGTTCAGTTTCAACCATTACATAATTGTGCTATAAAGTTGGCTCTCAGATCTCACCAGTCATATCTTCCTATTAAAAATGAAATTCCTCACTGACAGAGGCTTCACAAATGAGACATCTAGAAATCACAAGTGCTTTATCCAGATGTCAGTTATTAGCCTACACTGAGAGCAGTGTCACTGTACTCGTGTGAGACTGATTGAAATTAATGCTGGCCAGACTTTAATGACAGTCTAATTAATTCAGCACATCTTTGAGGTCGTAAACACCTCTTTTAGCTGTCACTGGTGTGGGCGCTCGTGTCAAGATTATAAATGACAATCCATGTACTTTTGTTTTCAGGAGGAAACTTTGCGATGTGATTAATAGATCAGATTCACTTCTTAGAGACTGCTGAACGATGATACACTTGGAGCACTTGACACTGCTACATAGGTGAAATAGAAACATTACACGTTCAAATACTGCTTCCCAACAATATCATTTCTCATCTCTGTGGTGTCCAAATGTCTGTTTTAGGGCACCAAACTCAGCCTCAATAATCCCATGTTATTCTGCTAAAACAAAATGGTGGAAGGATGAATTTGATCATTTATCTCATGCTCATGAACTGACCAAGACCATTAACTTAAGGAGCAAAATCATTTCAATTGGGCTTGATTAGTTTCTCAAGTAATAATTTACATTTACTGCTGGGGTATCAATTATTTTGAGACTTCACAAGGGCTCATTATGAGGTGGATATTATAATGAACCTGCGGCATAATACAGAAATGCACTTGATCTCAAAGGTAATCCTTGCAATATCCTGAAATCCTTTGTGGCACGGGCGTCATTTCCTTGTGTCTTAAAATGAGGGTTTTTCTCCTTGTCAGAGTATATTTCCATATTCTTTCCCTGTATCCATATGAAAATGAGTGGGGTTAGGCACGTGTGCTTATTCTAGTGTAGAATAAGAGGCATGATTTGAATGTGTTGTCTTGACAACATAAAAAAAATGCAGTACAGTTTGATTAATTTGGATATGATGTCCATGTGAGCTCAGAGTTACGACCTTGAACAAAAGCATTCCGATCAATTCAGGCTCAACTGTAGTTATTACTTTTCTTCCTTCACGATATTTCAGGGCTAGAATCAAATTTTCTGCAAAACCCGCCACAGGCTCTTTTGCTTCCTTTGATATTTTCTGCTAAAACTCACATTTGCTAAGCCCTTAAATCATTAAAACATGTGGGTCAGATTTCTCATCTAATGCTGCATGCCTTAAGTGTTAATGAATTAGGAACATAAACTAATGATGACAGGTGCACCAGGCTTCTTTTAATAGGTACATTTAACATCAAAACTTCAGGATCATTTAAATATTTATTTCTTAAGATACAGAAAGTCATGAGAGGTCAGTTATTTAAAGTGAATCTGATTTTGGCTTTGGCTGCCAGATGACCAATTTGGCAATAATTTTTTACATTACCGTTAACATTAAGGGTTTTAATTATAAGAAATTATAAGATGAACTAATTATACATATAAGTAATTTTTGCTCCAAACACGTTAAATTCGTTTTTGTTTTTTTATTAATCAAATCAAAGACTGTTGATCGTGGCTGTGTGAATTCTGATCTCTTTAATTGGCCAGTAGACACATTTCATAGCATTAGAATAGGCTGTATTATTTTTCCCCCCCACAAACTGAAAGCAAGGAAGACATTTCTAGTTGCCAGATATTTGTGTGTAGTGTGATAGTCTCAGATAAGCCCAGTATGTTTGTTTTCTTAAATCTATCATTACTAGGTCTTGCTCTACCAATATTCCTTGGCTGCTATAATCCCTAAATGTTTACCCTGAACCCCTGGGTGTTTATATAACACCTTAACAGCACATTTTCCACTCAAGGTAAACCAACAATCTGATTTTGCTCCAGGCTCTGAGACACAGAGGTAATGGGCACTGGCTGTTGAGGATTTGGGGACAAACACAGAATGAAGCGGAGCGGGAAAAAGGTTGAGGCCGGAGTGGAGGAGGCTGAACATTAGGTACCAGTTGCTGCTGACATGACACAAAAGTTTGAAAACCAGGGGCCACACCAAATCCCAGTTGGTCAATGAAGGGCGGCTCGTCCTGGCTGTGGATCTGAACCTTGATGCCTGCTTCGTAGGAGGTCTCATCTGTGGATACAGCACGCCAGAATATATAACAACAAATACGGTCGCCTAAGGAAACCCGCTCTTAGTGCTCCCAAAGCCCCTACTGAGAGCTGATATCAGAGATATATTTTATGGCATAAAACAGAATTAGAACCTCAGATTTATTACATGCTGTAAACTTTATGAATACAGTGGGTGTCGTTTTTTTGGACCAATATGTCAATAAATGTCATATCTTATGTGGGCGGTCGACCTGAAAAAACTTTTTATTTTATACTATTAAACATAGTAATAGCTAGTACATCACTTCTGTGTAGTCGAAGTTCTGAAGACAATAGGCAGTAAAAAGAAGATAAGAAAACCTGGGAAAATATTGTGATTATGTTATCTTAATAAAGTAATACATCCTCCTGTTAGATACATGATTTGTGACGAGAATAGTTTGGATTTTCCGTGTAACCACACAAGATGGAGTGATTTTCACAAGGATAAAATGTTACCGTTTACTGTTTTATACTGACCTGTCTCTCCCCAAACAGGCAGGTATTCATCCTGCTGGATGTCCAACATGATCTCCAAGCCGTTCCCCGTGCCGCCTTTTAATGTGGTCAACAAAGGGTTGCCGTCTTTTCCAGAGTTGAAAGTGTAGCATTTTCCGTAGCGTGTGTAAATCTGTAAAGAAAGAGCAGAGAAAAAGAAGGAGCGTAAATGAAAAGTTAAAGCCTTTCCACTGTGCTGTGGTAAATTGTGCACATTTACAAGATGTATTACATGTCAGCCTGTAATTGTGCAGGACAGCTAATCATTGCAGAGGCTTTGTGATTATCAGAGAAACAGTACTGACTTTAAACTGGCACCTGGCTCTGAGTTGAGGATTTAATGAGCTTTCCTTCGCAGCAGCCGCAGTTATCAATCTTCACCCAATTTATTTTACTCAAGAGTATTTTAAGAAAGAATGTACTATATTGCCGTCATTAAATAAGAAACACCTGAGGTGAATGCCCTCTGGACACACACGCAAACTATTTTTTGAGTTTGAAAAACATATTTGTGTGTCTTGACTTACCGCTTGATGTGCAATCTTTACAGTACATTGCCTCACACAAAATATCTTTCAGATCTAATTAAATGACTTGTTTTCAGCTTTTGCTTTTGAGTCACAGTTGACAGATATTTAATGTTTTTCAAGTTTATGGATTTTCACTGTGATTGGAAAATTCTCCACTCTCTGCAAAACAATGCGCAATAAATCTGCATCACGATTATTGTAAATGTTGACAGTTGAAACTGAACTCTAGAGTTTGGATCAAGACTAAGAAAACTTACAATTCTGAAAATGGCTTAAAGGATTGTGTCAATTCAAGCTAAGTCTATCAGTTTGAGATAAGATTACCACACAGCAGAATTGATTGGTTATGCAACACTATGAGGAACTTCAATATCTGTTATTCATGCATTTCATGTCATGGTTTTGGATTTATGTTTTCATTTTCCACCTTTTTATTTTTTAAATGTTTTCCTCCTTGTGTCTTGTCTGATCCTACTTCCTGTGTTTGCCTTCCTGTCGTTAGTTTCCCTGGTGTGTCTGTTTGTCTGATTGTCACCTGCCGCCCTTGTGTTTCTGCCTCCCCTGCCCAGCTGTGTCTTGTCCTGTGATTACCCTTCTGTGTATTTAGTCTCGTCTTCCCCTGTGCTCCATGTCTGTTCGTCTCTCCTCGTCTATGTTACCTGCCCGTCTCTTGATGTCCATGCTCTTGTCCATGCTACCTGTCACGCTCCATGCTTGTTCCTGAGGTTTTCTGTCCTGATCCTTCCTCGTACTCCCTGGGTTTTGGTAATGTTAAGTTGTTCCTTGTTTTCTGTTGTCATCAGCTTTGGGAAATAAAGCTCATTTTTTGTTACCTAACCTTTTAGTCCTCTTACTGCATTTGGGTCCTATTTTTCCCCACCCCTGACATTTCACCAGAAAAATCTGCACCGTTTTAAAGAAAATAGTTCATCACAAGTTTATCAAAGTTACAACAATATCTGCTTGTTGGTGTTGATGGCAAAAAACTTCATATTTAAATGGGGTGAGTGTGAAAGAATCAGGATGACCAATCATACACCAACATAACACAATAAAATGAAAAAGGCTTAAAAATGTTTATTATGAATTAAATAAAAAATATTATTGAATATACTATTGTGAAATGTAATCACAATTAAATATGTTATGTTCTGGAACAATACCACTGAATTTAACACATGTACACTACTAATAAAATATGTTGGCATTTTCTTTTTCAGTCAATAATTTCAAATTGAATTTCAATAATTCATCAAGGTTGGTCAAACTGCAATATTGAAATTAAAACTTCAACATCAGATTAATCAAGCCAGATTGGATTTTATTTCAAAATGCAACATCACTTCCTGAAAATATAATAAGGGGAATTCAAACATTTTTTTTTTTATAAATAGTTAATTTCAGAACTAGGTCATTCTCAGTTTTTCAAACTTCCATCTAAAACCCTCATTGTTGATTTTTAAATAGTTATTTGCTAAATTGAGCCACACTTCCTACATTAATGATCATGGATGTCCAAATATCCTTCCTTGGCAAACAATAATTGGCCGTACAAACACTGTAGCATCCTGACATGATGCTTTTGTGGCTGTCGAGGTTTTTCTTCACAACACCAGTAGCACTGGAATGTCATCCAATGGTTAATTTTCACTACCCAGTGTGCTGAGGTTGGGGTGATAGGGCTTCTGGCAAAAAATTCAACCAGCATGGCGAAGCTGATCTCCAGAGATCAGAGTCAGTGTTCCACATCCAGACACAGACAGACGGGCATGCAGCTCGGATAGATAAGACAGCTTTGGTCCTTTCCCCCTGCTGGCTGTATAATGAGGTCTGCAAGAGTACTGTAACTAGAGACCTCTCTTTAAAGATTCAGATTTAAGTTTAGATAAAAAGGAGCTTCATTCTGTCACATCACAGCCACACCATATACCTCTCTCTCTCCAAGCACAAGACAGTTTAAATCCCAATTATGGCTCCATGCAATCTGACCGTCATGCTAGAGATTGCAGAGATTCTGCATTGGTATATGCAAAACAGGGAAGCCACCGTTGACAGCTGACATACTGCAGTGTGCAAGATTTTGCATTTCAAATATATTCACTGTAGTAGTCATAGTTACAGGTTAGGTTTTCATGACGCTGTATATACTAATATATCTGGTTAAATGAAGATCCAGTGACAGTTACTGCTTTAAATCTACCAGTGTGCCCAGATTTAAATTATTGTCAGTGCTGTAGAAATAAATGAGTCGCTCTTCAGGCGGATTTCTCACTGCAGAAGTTTCTCTGTTGAGTCTTTAATATTTTCTGATGTTAAAGGCTGTTTTGAAAGCATTGGAGAAAGAAATATTACTATTGTGAATAGTTTGACAATAGTTTGTAAACATCATCCAATTCCTCCATGCAGCATATGCTTACTCAAAACGTAATTAACGTTTTCTTTTAGGCTTTGCTGCATTTTCAATACAAAACCGTACACTGCACATGCCTTCCAGATGTTTAATAAGGGAAGCTACATTTTTAATTTGAACTGATTTACTTGTTTGAATTATTAATGCTCTAATTTGTCTACCTTTCTATTGTTGTCACGGGTTGTAAATCAAAAAGGCGTTAAAGCAACTGTGAGTAAGAATTGCCAGGCAGAGTATAACCAAATGAGAAACTAAGAAGAGTGTAAAGAAGACAACAACGTCCTTGATGATGACATGCCGTGACATTTTCACCACAACATGAAGGAAGCATTTGTTTCCGGGACTGACTTTTGTAGACATTTAGTTTAATAAAGAAAACATCTGTCATGTGTGAGAGGTAAAAACAGTAAAGGCTTGTTTTCAGCTTTGAAGCTCAAAAACACCCTGAGAGATTGAGGGTGGGTCGTCAAATGCTTCCATTAATTATTAATACACCTTGTAAACAACCATTCATATCCACAGCTGACAAACACCATATTTATCTCTGTACATACAGTGCTGAAGTTTTTGTAGGTGCAGGGGTCCCCTCTGAACCTGCACTCCAGCAGCATGTCCTCCAGCTGGTGGCCGAGGCGTCCCATCATCTCTGTGGTGTTGGTGCTGATATCAGGGGGCGGGGTGTAGTTTTTGAAGTCCAACAGGTTCAGGAGACCCTGTATGTGGCTGTCTCTGAGCAGGGACACGCTCTGCTCCACCACTGTGTGATTGGGGTACATCAGGTCCATCCAGTAGCCGCTGTGGTACAGGTCATCCTTGGTCAGAGCGGCCATGCGGAACACGTTCTTGTTGCAGAAAGTAACAGCTGGGAAGGACATGTTGTGAGCCCACACCATGTAGATCTTGGTGATGGCAGGGTAGGACATCAAGTAGAGGATCCGATTCCAGGACAAGGTGCACAGCAGACTGATACAAAGGAAGAAGGCCATGATCCAGATGACTCGCTGCAGTTTCGACTTGTCCGGAAAGAAGATAAACTTCAAACCATGAACTTTGGTCCTCATAATGAAATCCACAGTGATCTCTTTCAGTGTTGGTTTAAGTGATCTGGACTTCTTTTGGACAGGAGTCTCTTGGGTATCACTTTCTTTAAGCGGTGGTCCCATGGCGACTGTTTTGGATATTGGTGCTTTAACCATAATCGCTTCTGTTAAGGTGGACGCTTCTTTACTAATTGCTGTTTCTTAGATTCCAACCCTACACATGTCTAATTCACACACAACCATCCCCAGGTTTAACTAACACGATTTCCAGGTAGCAGCGACTGGAGTCCTGATGTGAAGCTGTCCCACTGTTCACGCTTGAAAATGATTTGCCGAAAACAAAGGAACTGAGCTCCTTTGGGGAGGTAACATTGATTTACATAATGATTCCTTTAAGGGAAAAACAGCTGAATCAGTCCATTAATAAAAAAAACTCAAGCGTAGCCAACATCAAGAGATAAATGGACGTGATAATGGCAGATGTTAGCGACGGCTTCACTCCCAGAGGCAATCACTTTGAAAATCCGGAGTGGCTTACCCCTGTTGCTCTGATCTTTTACTCCTCCATCTCCCTCTCCAGTGCCAGACAATACTTGCAGATTCCGGTGGTTTCTCTCTTTGTGCCGTAGCCGCCCAGAACCCAACTCCTCCCTTTTTACACAGATTGAAGAGATGCTTCTTAGACTGTTGACTTGCAGCCTGCAGAAGGGAGTATAAAGCTGGTTGCCCCCCTACACACTCTCTCTAGAGTCGAATGGAGAATGAGGTGGAGCCAGTGAATGAAATTATTTTCCTCCGGTGATGAAGTAGACCTCCGGTTGTATAGAGAGGCGGGGGAGGTATCAATCAAAGTACAAATAATTGTTATAAAGAAACTCTCAAACAGAAAAATATTGGAGAATCTGCAGCTCGCTCCTGGCTCAATACATAATTGATAACTGAGGAGAGCCCGCTAGTTGGATAAAAACACAGAAAAATCCCCTTAAAAATGTGTTAGAAAAATCCAGTATGGCACATCTCCTCGATCCTCTTTTCTGCCAGTTTCAAAGATAATTTCACAAATGCAATGTAATGAGCGCTGACATGCCGCAGCCTGCAGATGTGTGTTTTGGTGTTGTTTTGTTTCTTTCCGTTAACCGTCAAGTGGGAAATAAGTATTTTTTTTGTGTTTCTCTTAGTATAAGATACTGTTATGTTTGGCTGTGAACATTTTTTATTATGAAGGGCAGACCATCTATTTGTATTTATTCTTGTTTTTTTTAGAAAGGGGCAGGTCACATAAGATTTTATTCTTCTCCCTGCTCCTTTTCGCTCAATGGTGTTTTGGTAGAGTCATGTTTTGTTGGCAATTATTGTACATTTGGTTTTGCGTACCATGAGCGGGACAAATAAAAATTAAATTAAATGTGACTCTGGCTATATAAAAGGTGCTTTGCTCCATTTATGTGAGACTATTAAAGTGTTCTGTTTGGCAGAAGAGTCACATTCGTACTGAGACTATTTTCTATTATGTTAGCTGGAATCTTTTCATTTTATAATGTGGCTGTTGGCTAAGTAAACTGATCACAGCTGTGGTGATCAAATACACATATTCTGAAAAGGGAGACAATGTTGGATAACTGTGTGTAATTGAGGTAAAGGTTGCCCATTTTAAGTTAAGCAATATACATTGGACTGTATACATTGGTTGGATCTAGTTGTTAAACAACAGAAAAGGAGAGAAATTAAGAGACATTTGACCTTTAAATTCAACATTTTGAGGAATAGCATTGTTCTAGGTGAGAGTAAGATAAAAGGATCAACAACCCTCAAATATCTGTACGCTATAGATTATGCTATAGCTAGGCTGTTAGCTTAGCATAGACTGGGGGCGGAGACTCCAGGAAAGTCATTGTGCAAAAGAAAATGTAGGCTATGTAGAGAAAGCCACAAAGCACGCTTTTACATTTCTAATTTATCTGTGGTGGCAGTTTTCATTTACATAGAGTTAATGGTCTCAGTAAATGATTATGTGTCAATTCCCTTTTACACAGAAAAGAGGCTTATGATTATTAAACGTGTAAATTAACTTAATATAACAAACAGAGAAAAGGGTTTGGCTAATAACTGTTAACATTATCAAAACCATTCTATCATTAAGTGCGGAGGATGCATATTTTACTATAAGGATCAAAAGGTTAACCTATGGGAGTCTTTTATTCCTACCAGTGCTCACATTTGTTAATGAACTGAACTCCAAACTAAATTCAATAAAATGATTGCGGTATTTCATAACATTTGAATTTATCTGCAGCCAATTTAATAAACGACTAAATCATTTAATTATAACAAAGAGAGAATCATGCAGAACAGTTTTGCACGTGTTCAAAAGTTGTTGTAACACAAGTCCGACAACATTAATGAATGTCTGGATACAGAAAATAAAGAGAAGCCTCATTAACAGCACAGTGCTAACCGTTTTTGTCCCTGCTATCTTTCAGGGCTTTATAGTAAAAAAAAAAGAAAAACATCTAAATGAATTGCAGGGGTCCAGCTTCCCTAACAGATATTGGATTTCACGTTTGCACAACACCTAATTTGTTCTTACTGGAATGCAACACAGCTGCTTGACATTGCTTTCTCTTTAGCCTTATGTTCAAAACTTTTTATTTTTAGAAACAACCAGATGGGCTGTGTTTGATTGTACTATTAAAGATTCTCTTTATGTTTGGGAAAGATCCATTCAAAGTAAACAAAATGCTGTATTTTGGCATGAGTATGGATAACTATGTCAGACCCAATAACAAAGCAAAACAAAGAAGAGAAAAATACTAATGCTTCATAAGCGCTCCGCCAGTAACTAACTCCAACAATAAAACCTTATCAGAGTTAAAGCTGACTGCCTGGTTTCTCCAGCTATTGACCAGCTGCATTGACTTCCTTTATTCTTGGCTTCTTTGGAAAAATGTCAATAGATATGAGGTGCATTTAGCTGGTAATTTAATTACTCAAGCTCCGTTTTCCTATAGAAGCCAGTCGGAGGCGGACGGCTCTCTGAATTGTCCTTCGTCAGCAGTTTGAACCACAGCGCAGTTTAATTACTCCCAGCTGCATAGGTTAGACACAGGCAATGCATGACAATCATCATTACTCTGTTTAATGTGCTTCCTGCAGATTTACAACAATCAGCTTTACGTTTTTCTATCACCTAATATGCATTATTGATTAGACGCTGTACTAAATTTGCTTGATTTTGTATTTTAAACATTTACATTGTAGACCTTTGAAGCCCTGTTAATGATCTTCGCAGTAATGTTTATCTTTCTATATTTGAGTTGGCTTCTTTCTGTACTTCTTTTTATGCAACAAAGATTTCCTCTCTTCTGGACTATTGGGGATGTTTTAAAGGTTATGGCCATTTCTACTGATCATAATTCCTATGTTGAGGTATACTAGAATAGATTTAAATTGTGCAATTTTCCAAACTCACATTGGTTTCTCATACAGCATCTCTGTATAGTATGTCTATTCACTCTCTGTCCTAAACGGCTTGTTGGAGCTCCTGCCCCCCCCCCCTCCCTGTGAGCCCAGTGTGCTCTGATTGGTCGGGACGTTGCGAGGCTCGCTGCTCATTGAGCTGGCTTACTGGTGTGGTTTCCGGGTCGGCGATACAGCGGGACAGCGCAAAACTCATCCTGAGCACACACAGACACTCACAGCCGAAGTAAAAACAATAAGTGGGGCTTGATATTGAGCAAGAAAAAGGTTTATAAACGCTGTGAGAATGGGTCTGCGGAGAGCATTTCTCCGCGATCCCAACTCGTCTATTACCAACCAGGGAGCTCTATGCAAGTCAATGGGACTCCCTGTTAGTTGAAAATGTACGCTAAAGGTCCTGGTGTGTGAGGAGCTCCGCGGATTGGTCCATTTTGGTTCCTGCCAGGAAGAAACAAATGGAAAAAGAGAAATCTCCAACGAGGCGTTCTGAGGCAGCATAGACAGGTCTTTTCTGTGTTAGAGTTTTACTCGCTACAGGGTGTACTTTGAGCGTTTTTGACTCTGCAGACCGTTTACATGCATAAAAACCTTCATAACACACAAGGGGACGGGTAATAACCAGAAAAGCATGACATGAGACCTTTAAGAGAAACTTTAAATCGATATTTTGACCACAGCTATGAGGACGAGCAGGTTGCCAGAACTGGCAAGCGCCTTTCTTATTGTATTTGACAACCTCTGATGTTATCTTGAGTGCAAGGCTGTTATTAAAGGTTCCACCCCCAGTCAAACATTCCTTCATTAGTTGCTCATGTGGTGTATTTGTGTCTCTCAGGGTTTGGAGATGGGAAGTACGTTTCTTTTGAGGAGCGGCAGTGGCACCAGCCGTGCTTCAAGTGTTATCGCTGCTCTGTGTCGCTGGTGGGCTCCGGCTTCTTCCCGGACCGCGACCAGATTCTGTGTACAGACTGCAACAACGACGACTGACCGACACCACACCTGCAACAGACATCAACCACGGCCGAGAGGAGCAGCAAAACGTATAAACCTCGGCCGTGCACATGAACACTGCAATATTCCTAATTCACTCACAGTGTAAAGCTGATACAAAGCTCAGTATTAACAACTCATGACAGCCTTTAGCACATTGATATGTTTGTATAAATTCTGCCGAAATGTCCTGCAATATATGTGTATGACTTTTTTTCCCATAATTTTATATTTTTCACACATGAAATATAACATATAAGAAACGTATATGTATAACTTTAAATTAAACTGTTTTTATTTTAACTATTTTCTTCATCACTGCTAGACAAAACCAAAATGTAAGTGCTAGGACGTATGCTTGTATTTCTACCTTTTAAAGAATATTACATATATATAACAGCCCTTGCTCTTCTCTATGTGCTGTATGTAAACTTATTTGTTGAAAATGATCTGTTAGAAGGAAACGTATATATTTTGTATTCTTTTCAGCTTACAACATTTTCTAATGGCGTACATGAAATAATAATAAATGTAAAAAACAAAGTGTGTTTAAGATATTAACTAACAAATGGCTAACTGTCTATATCAACATGTACATGCACAATAATGTTGCCTTAAACATTGACTTCCTCCTGCAAACAGTGTGCTTCTTGTTTTTACAATAAACTCAGAAATTACATACAATTGAA